ATTATCATATAACTGCTTTAGTACATATAAAAAAAGTAAAATATTACATTGGCTTGCACTTTCAAAACATGTAGTTTTGTTCCACTTTCATTAAGAAAAGAATGGAGTCTACATGCTCAGTGATATTCTTAACTTCTTTAATTATTTTATAAATATGAAACTTATCGAATATTTTATAAGTTGTGTTTATACTTATATGACAGTCTCAGTTATTTACTAAAATATTTTAAATAAATAACACTCTCATATTTTTAATTCTAATATTAAAATTGTAAAAAGTGACAGTAATTGGGACACTGGCAGTAATTGGGACAGTTACCCTATGTTATTTTTTTTCCCAAACCTTAACATAGCCGCTTTGCCTAGGTCCCTATACGTGATATTTTCATACATCCCGATTGCTAGAAGCGTGTCCATCTTTTATCTATATTTGAACATTTTTTCTACGTAAAAAATGTTTACTCTTACATATGACGTGAAAGTAAATTAAATGCGAAATTAATAGCAATTCTTTTCTCTAATTTATTGATCGCTTTGTTATTATATTTGTTCTCAAGGCAGAATGCCGAATCTTTTCATATTACCATAATATTAATTAATAAATATAGTAACGTAGTAGTAATAGTAGTAGTCATAGATCACTCACGTATTTTTCATGAAATAATCAATGTATAACGCGTAGTGTTATATTGGATAATAGACTGCTCATCCACAAATTTGTATCGACGCGTTTTTCTTCTTGCTATCTTCCGTAGCTTGTGGAATCGTTACGTTTGTAAAGTCTTCCAGCAATACCCGTTGTAACTGCTTCTGTAATTAAACATACCAAACTATTGTAATTAGAAACGTATTTGCCTTAGGGTACAGCGGGATAATTTGGATAATAGTAAGCATTTGCAAGAATTTCAGGAAAATAATTAAAAGAAATTTTAAGATATATTTCATTATACCAATCATATAATGAAATGTATTTTAAAATCTCTTTTAATCACAACCTTTTTAAGCATAATTCTAAGCGACAATTTATCAACTTCCGAGAGAATAGATAAGCTAAAAACAACTTCGAAATGTATAGCAAACTTTCTGGTAAAAAGTTACACAATTCAGTTACATAAAGATATATTGGTATCACTTGACGCGACATTACTTTACACGAACATTCCGTTAGATTTTGTGATTAGTGGAGATTAAATTTCCGACAAATGGTAACTCATAAAAGATAAAACTAACGTTTCAAAAACGGATTTTATCGAAGCAGTAAAATTCATACTAACATCCATCTATTTCTTTTTCAATGAAACAGTATACGAACAAATGTTTGGTACCCCGATAAGTTGCCTTTTGTCATCGATTGCCGCAGAAATGGTAATGCAGGAACAAAACGTTTTTAACATTTTTAGTAAGAAAATCGTTGTTCTATTGCAGATACGTATGGATGACGTTTTATTGGCACCGACAGACTAGATACATAAATAAAATTTTAAATTCTTTCAATAGATACCACGATCGATTAAAATTTACTATAGAATACAAAAATAACCATTGTTTATGTTTATTATATCTAACTTTAAACATTATTGACAATATCATTTACGTAGATTGGTTTCACAAAAAGACATTCTCGGGGAGATTGCTCTCTTATCACTCAAAACACCCACAAAATAGGAATTATTTATAATTTGGTTGACAGAGCTTTCCTTATACTTTCGCATCCTATGTTCCAGCAAAAAAATTTTGAACTTTTATCTCTTCTGTTAAAGAATGGATACCCTCTAGATTTAATCTTCACCAAGATGAACATTAGACTAAAACTAATAGACATCAAATTAAAATCCAATATGTTAAAAGAAACCGACGGACACAGTACCACAAAGGAAAAAACATGTGATAATAGAAAATTCTTGGTACTTCCGTACATTAAAAATATTTCGGAAATCGTGGCATTGATCATTGATAAGAATAAGTTCATAATAGGATACAGAGTGTACTCAATAAGACTGATATGTTCGTCAAAGCTCACAAAGATAAGAATTTGACTACGGCAAACAATAATGTAGTTTATAAAATCTCTTGTAACGACTGTGAGGCATCTTATGGGACAAACCAAAGGGGAACTCGGGCACTAGACTCAAAGAACATAAAAGTAATATTAAGTTAGATCCTACAAAATATTCTGTCATTACAGAACACAAATCTAAAATTTGGACATTCTTTTAATTGGAATAACATAAAAGTGCTTGACACAGAACATAACTATTATAAAAGGCTCATATCTGAGATGCTGCAAAGAACAAAAGCATGGTTTAAATTTTATCAAAGACTTGGACGTACTTATTGACAATTCTTACTTTGGAATACTTGATGAATTAATAGATAAGTCAACATACATTAATATAAACAGCTTTGTACCAATTACCCTGAAAGGAAAAAAACTCAAATAACATTATGCACGCCTGGGTATCTCATTACCGAAGCACAGTTGACTCGTACAGTCGTGGACAAATAGGTTGCGACACTTTTTTTTTATAGATTTCAAAACACACTAATATTTTGCAAATGCAAACCACAATTGGTGTTATACTATCTCTAGATTAGGGCTGTTACTTTTCACCTACTTCGAATATTCGAAGCTTCGAAAGACTTCAAAGCTTCGAAGTTAATTTCGACCTTTCGAAATTTAAGGTACCTTCGAAGCTTCGAAGCTTCGAAGTTTAAAAAAATACGTTCGTGCGAATAATAAATTTACAAGTAAAATTTACAAATATTTTAAATAAAAGAATTTATATATACATATACATATATGGGGCATTTCATCCCAAGTCAGCCACCCGTAAACTTTTG